TCTTACTACAATGTTTTACTACAGCTGCACATTGCAAATACAATGTATTATACAATGTAGGAGATAATTAGCTAATACAGTACTGCCAAATCCAATGAACTGCACTGAGATGATAACATTTTGTAAATCTTTAAAAAATTTGACTAGGACCTTAGTGACATTCCTTGCTTCAAAGTGGCAGTTGAATTCAGTGGATGAGCAGAGCAGAGATTAGAACAAAGAGCTGCTGAGTTAGAAAGCAGGTTACAAAAGAACAATTAGAAGCTAATTCCACAATGAAAAATACAGAAAAAGAGTGAAATTCAAGTTTTGACTCCTGAACCTATTAACAGAATAGCCGAGGCAGGAACAAGAGAATTATAGTAAAAAGACAAAGCTGAAAATGATTTTAATACTTATTTAAATCTGAAGGGGAAGTGCAAATAGCAGTAATTTGTGAGTTAAAAGAATTTAAAAAGGGACTATTTGATCTCCTTATATGATTGGAATGTTTGAACCAAGTCTAATGATGGTTTTGGCCTCTGGTGTCTTTCTTGCTTATATTTGCAAAAGTCTGTACTTTCTCTAATTCAGAACATACATTATATGATACTGTATGTCATGGCAACAATCACAGATCTACACTATATTGTATTACTATCACTGGTCAAAATAATTATGCAAAACATTCATGCCATTAAAGGTATAATTAATGCTTAAAACACTTCGACACTCTACAGGTAAAATATCAAGTATGTAACTGAATCTGAATATACAAAAAAAAAAACAGAAGACATAAGGCCCTCCAGGATTTGAGAAACACATACTGCTTGCACTCCAACTTCCTATAAGGCAGCCTGAAGCTTTTCTCATTTGAAATCAATTTGCCATTTACTGTACTTTGCATCAGTGTGACTATAACAGTGTGTATCCTGGCTGCAGACATTTAGAAATATGGGCCTGAACTGATTATACTCTGCTGGGAAGGTTGTGTAAATCTACTCTGGAAGATCTTGCACCAGGCCTGAGTGTACAGTACCAGGATTGTGGTAAACAGAATACATGCTTTTCCTGGTCACTTTAATTTGGTCTTGTTAAATAGACCATCATTTTCTTAAATAGACCATAATTATTGCAAATGTTATGTGGTGTTGACTCCACAACACTCTATAAAGAGGTTCAAGATGTTATTCCATTTACACATAAATATTTTCAATCAGCTGTTGAAGAGAAGAAGGGTGAGAACTGTTATGATAAACATGTCATTAAGGTTCATCCTCAGGATATTAAACTAATACCAGTTGACAACTTTGCAGAACATACATAAGCAATGAAGTAACATGAAGAAAATAAAACAAGGCAAAATGCAATCTTGTATAGGGAACCTAGCAGCAGAAAAGTCAATTACAAATAAAATATAAAGATTATAACTATAGTATACTGTTTAAAAGTTATTTTTCGGGAGCAAAAGTCTAAATACTTTCTATAAGTTAAGTCTTAGAAGTCAGTTATTATTATTCTTATAATATACTGTATTTACAAGAACAGGGTAAATGTAATGCTATTATCACACCATTCTGCCAGAATATTCTGAGAAAAGCAAATACATTGGGCAGCTTTATTATCACAACTTTATCACAAGAGTGAGCTTTCTAAGTCACATTCCAGACATTCAACTTCTGAGTGCTGATTCCACAGGACAGTTCAGTGCAAAAAGGGACACCGATTTGTGTTATCATACTGCAAAATGACTAGCGTGTGTATATCATTGCACTCACAGCCTACCAGGAGTGAGAACTCTTTGTCACTCTCTGACATTGACAGATATAAAATTTCTAATAGCTGAAATTCTTAATTGAAACTGTCCTACTAAGCCTTATAGTGAGAATGTCTGGGCTTCAGCAATGGTATCCTTAGTTTATTCAGCAAACCATGAGTCTTGATAGGTGCTTGCGATATAACTGCAACTTAGATTGTCAAATGGAGATTGATTGACACAGATTAACCTGCTTTTTTTAAAAGGGACTGGTAAATATTTTAAATAACTCTGAACAGAAAAAGGCTAAAATAAGTGACATAAATACAATTAAAAGAATCATTCAGGTTTAACCCCACCAAATATATCACCACAGAATACACTGCACAGAAACAAGGGATCTTTGATAACGCTTTACTTCAACGAGTTTAAAAAAACACAACTCCTTCATAAACACTACACAATATGATATAACAATGTACAGAAAAACCATTAGAAAATCACAGATTTCACATAAACATATCAGGACCATTGTTAATGGCCCTTGTCAGTTCTCTAGTCCTTAATGATGTCTTCCATCATTTTCACCTTACTTCTCTCTACCTGAAGTTCTACTCTTAGCCTTTTGGGTGAAATTCTGTCTCGTTATGAACTGTTGCAAATAATCACGTGCCAGTAATGACATTTGCACAAGCAGCTGTAAGGAATTATGCATTTTGTTCTGTTGAGTTGTGTAGTATTTGTGAAGGACTTATGATAAAGGGTTACTAGATCCTCTACCCTTAAAAGCCATGCACAGAGTCTTCGCTTGGGTGCTAGAGTGATATCATAACATATTAACAGCTAAGATGCCTGACATACAGTATGAAACAACTACAACTGTGAGTGTATGGTGCAATACACTACTTTTAAAAAGGTCACTGCAGTCAAACAATTGAAGACATCAAAGATGTGACAGAGGCAAGCACCCCAAGACTTCTGTAAAAGCAAACCAAGATGCTAGAATGTTCATACTTGGAAAACAGTTTTAATGTTTACATTTTTGTCAATGCCATGGTTCTGTTCTCAGATTCAATTTACAAGGAGTGTACAGGACTTTTATTAAATAGCAAACTAAATTAAGAGACATTAGATTTCCTTTCTACCTTATAATCCCAATACGTATTCTTAACTTTGAACCAAAATGTCACTCCTGATTGACACAATTGGAAATGTATTGATTGCTCACCATCTTATGAAGGCAGTTAAAATGAAGACACAGAAGAAACATACTGATAAATCATTGTTCATCCCTGAGGACATTGAAAGGTATTTAAAAACAGCCCCATTCTAAACGTAATGATAAAATAAATCAAACTACCGCACATTTAACTATCATTAGTTTGACATTGATTCTTACAACCAGTCATTAGCCTCTTTCTGTCATTCATTATGAATTCTCAGTCAATAGCTAACATGAGGTATTTTACACAGCGTGTAGATCTCTATGGTGGTTGATGAGAAGGTTTTTTGGGAAGTATAGATACTTCATGTATTCCCGTTCAGGGAAATTCAAGAAAGGCTACAAATTAGAGGAGCCCATTTGGCCCAACTAACACATTTGCTTTTTAGCAGCAAATTGACTGCAGGATCTAATTCAGTCAGTTCTTGAAAGAAGCCAGGGTATGAGTTTCAACAGCTGGGTAGCTTGTTCCAGATTCCTTCATCCCTTTGTGATTGACATTTTCAGCTGGATACCATGACAGAGTGAATTTTCTCCACAGGATGTATCACACGTGTCACAACAATGCCATGTAAAAACACATGCAGTCCATGTTACATGTGGAAAAAAAAAGTGTAAAATCGTAGAAGTCATCATTCATTGCTTTCATGGGACATGCTTTATACTGTGGCAACGTTCATGTGTAATCTGTTGTAAAAAGAATCATTACATGGAAATATTGTATTGCTTCAGAAAATATAAAGATGTAGCACTGGGGATTTAATGTACTGTACTGTGCTGGTTTGCTTGAAAGAAGAAGTTATGAGACAGGTCATTTAAGTCCACATTGGAAGTCGTTGGATGCTTTCCTCTGTGTCTATGCGGGTTTAAAAGGGTTAAAAAGAAAGCTTCACATTCAAGGTGTCCCTGCTTTGCCACAACTCAGTGTTGTGATCACATGACAAATTGCCAGTTTTTACCACTCTTACATTCTTCCCGATTTGCAGTGCTACATATCCAGCAGCCATATCACCCTGCAACTCACAACTGGCAACCCACTGACCAGTACCTGGATGGGAGACCTCCTGGGAAAAACCAAGGTTGCTGCTGGAAGAGGTGTTAGTGGGGCAAGCAGGAGGTGCTCACCCTGAGGTCCATGTGGGTCCTACTGTAATGCCCTGGTATAGTGACGGGGATACTATACTGTAAACAGGCGCCATCCTTCGGATGAGACGTAAAACCGAAGTCCTGACTCTCTGTGGTCATTAAAAATCCCAGGGCGTTTCTCGAAAAGAGTAGGGGTGTAACCCTGGGGTCCTGGCAAAACTTCCTATTGGCTCTTACCAATCATGGCCTCCTAATAATCCCCATCTATGAATTGGCTTCATTACTCTGCTCTCCTTCCCACTGATAGCTGATGAATGATGAGCGTTCTGGCACACTATGGCTGCCGTTGCATCATCCAGGTGGATGCTGCACATTGGTGGTGGTGGTGGAGGGGATCCCCATTACATGTAAAGCGCTTTGAGTGGAGTGTCCAGAAAAGCGCTATATAAGTGTAAGCAATTATTATTATTATTATTATTATTATTATTATTATTATTATTATACTGTAAGAGCCATGACAGGGAATATGCAAAGTCAATATGAAGCACAGTGGTACAGTACATTCATTCTTCACATCCTGATCACAAAAAATGTTTTGCACTATTTCCTCATTTGCGAAGGTCTGTTTTTGATTTTGCATTCTGGTGTCAGCTGTGCCTTCAAAACTCAGATAGATGTTTTGAGAAATTCACACACCACATTTTAAAACAATTCTAAGGCTGGGCAAGGCACTCTTAGCCTTTTCGGTGTTCAATCACATGCTGCATTATAACAGCCGATGATCTGCAGGAAGACTGTGAGGGGTTTGTCCCAGAGCAGCACTGTGAAATTAGAAAGAGGCGACAGACATCTGATGGACAGCCCTGCTGTGGCATCAGGGAGAAACGGCATGTCTGAGCAATCAGTGTGCGAGGTAGCAGAGACGAGCTGCACAGCGAGGAGTCTGTTTGTCCTTACCTTATTCCTTGTGTCACACTGCTGACATTCACAGACAAAGCAGTACTGATTCTGGAGCTGGGTTCTTCGCTCCTGGGCAGGTACCAGCACATCAATATAGCTGACAGTGAGCTGGGAGAAGAGAGGAAGACGTTAGGGCAAGCAGCTATAACAAGGACTTTTATTGTTTAAGCCCCTTTATCTCAGGAAATTGAGTTCTTTCACATTTTCTTTAAACACGGCACTACAGTATGTGAACAAGAATGAAATCACACGCTTACAACCAGCAGAAGCCTCAAGCTCTAGTTAATGGCCTGTTTTATGGTGTAAGGCATAATTTCACTCCACTGTCTTTTGTTTTTGTGGATGTAGAGAGCAAAAAGGAATTACATTGAAAATTCAATTTCTAAGAATAACACATGGTAAAAAAAAGACTTGTATCAACATTTCTTGATTCTATAGACATCCACCTGCATGAACAATAACAAACATTTTAAGAATACACAGTAAGCAAGGTCACAAATGAGAAGAGGTCATTCGGCCATCCAGCCCAAACCATTTAGTTGGTAGTAGCTAATCGATCCAAAGATCTCACACAGCTGTTTCATGAAATAAATCAAGGTATTGACTTAACAAAGCTGGGTAGACCACACTTCCACACCCCAAGATGTGCTCTTTGTTCTCAGTTTTGAATGCACTTCCACATACAGTAGTTTCTACTTGTGTCCTTTGGATTTGCTTCAATGTTGGTCCACTGGGCTGACTTTGTCAATGCCTTTGACATGTCTGAATATACGCTATGAATCAGGTTGCCTTGTGGTCATCTCGGGTGAAAATTAAAAAATGTGACAGTGAATGGTAGCCCTTTAAGACTAGGAAAGAAACCTGTCTGGACTGATTTCAGAGCAGCAATATCTATTTGCTACAATGTGACTTAAACACCACACAATATTCTAAACAAGGTTTTAAATTTGGGGCGGAGCTGTGGCTAAGGATCTGCGCCTGTGGCTAGAAGGTTGCCGGTTCAAATCCTGCAGCTGGCAGAGGAATCCTACTCTGTTGGGCTCCTGAGCAAGGCCCTTAACCCCAACTGCTTCAGGGGCACCTTACAATGGTAGACCCTGCGGTCTGACCCCAGGCTCTCTCCCTGTCTGTGTGTCTGTCTCATGGAGAGCAAGCTGGGGTATGCGAAAAGACAATTCCTAATGCAAGAAATTGTAAAGGGTTGATAAAGTGATGTTGTTATTATTATTATAAATTCAATCACACAAACAGAAAAGATTATCATAATATACAGTATTATTCTAATGACAGATTAGGTTACCAACATTTGAACTATTAAGACGTAGGAAAAGTGCTCTGGTAAAACTAATTTTCATCATTTACAGTCAATGTCCAATATTTTAGAAAGTAAGCCTTTTAGGAGAATATATAGGAAAGTTGTTATACAGTTATTTTACTATATATAGTACAAATGACAGAGCAAGGATGCCTGCTTCATCATGCTGCACGTTCTTCACCATCTTGAAAGGAGATAAAATGGAAATTTGAAATAATGTAGAATTAAGGAGTACATTTTATTTCAGTAAAACCTAACAAGGCACTGAATTTAATAGTTATTTAAACTGGTGTATCTTCCCAGATACATGTTCTCATTATGCTGTGAAGAAAATCATCCTCTGTCTAAAGTACTGCACTGTCACTAAAGGTCATTATAACGAGCTTGTTCTTTAGGTTCTTGTTTCTGTCATGCTGCAGTCTTAACATTTTTTAATAAGGTTCATAAAGCTTTTTAGGTTGTTTTTGTAGGTAGTACTGGTGGAGCAGTAGGTGGAATTCTCCCACCTAGACCACATTTCACAATCCAACACCTTAATAAAGTGACCAGAGATACTGTACTGTACGGTAGGATGTGTCATTCTGAAACCAAGGTCCTGACAACTTTACAAAAAGTGTCCTTTTGTGAATGTACACTGGTGTCCTGGCTACATTCCATTGCAGTCTTGTACTGTGCAATCTGATCTCCCTAAAGTTCCTGCCTTAATTAAACTGATGAAGCAATTTCTCAATTCTTAATTTTCTGTACTATATACAGTACACCGAATTCATTATAAACTCAATATACTGTATCGTATCAACTCAATATAAGCTCAACAGTTTTCAAATCTAAGCTCATTGCTACAAACACTATAACCACTCAAAGGGAGAATAATGAAGCACAGGCTGAAGCTGACTTCACTTGCCCACGAACCTTCAAGCCATTCATCTTTTAACACATCACAGCATACCCAGCTGTGTGCCAGAGGCTCAGTGCGAGTCCCTCACTGTTAGCCCAGGATATCACCGTGGTTTCCATCTCTCAGAGATCTGAGAGTGCCCTGCCCGACTGTTCCCACTCTACAAAGAAGTTGTGCACTACTGCTTGGGGAAAACCTGTTTAGAGTCAGATACTGACATGTCCAAAGCTCAAACACCCAATGTCTGGATCATAGAGCTCAGCCTGTACTAGTTACTGGTTGAACTGCTTGAGAAGCCCTCAAGGTGTGCAAGTACTGTATTCTTGGAAAAAGGAAGACATCTACAGAAGTTCAGGTGGATAGCTGCATCAGCATGCGTAGGCTGCAAAGGAACAAGTAATACATTTATTCCATGATGAAAAAAAAGAAGAAAGAAAACACAATGTTTTGGCTGTGGAGCCTTCTTCAGGTGTGGACATCTACAGAATACAATATTAAAACAGATATTAATGTTGGATTTTTAGGATTTACTGGTGCAAAGCATTACATAATCCATTGCATTGAATTGTTACAGAGAAGTAAAAATGCCTTAAAAATGTCCTCCACGATTCAGGGAATCTGATTTTACAAAGGCTAGCAGGCATTTTATGTTTTCTAAGTTGGCCAGGTTTAATGGTTGAAAATGCCCTGCAGTAGTTCACATTTACTAATACATTCTCTACCTCATATACTGTATATTATTCACCAAAAATTACAGCTTCATTGAGTTACCAAGGTGACATTATTTTGTCTTTCCAGTACTTTTTGCATTCAAAATTCAAAATTGCAGCAGGTTCATTTCTGCATTAGAAACCTGCAAATTGTCCCCGAAAACCTACTGTAACACAGACATTTAAATATTTGCAAAGGTACTGTAAGATCACATTCATTCAAAACAGACCTCTAATTATGTAGGCAATAAAAGAACCAAACTTTTATACTGTATGTTTACATTAAAAAAGGATTAACACACTACTGTATGTGATCTTTCCTTGATTTTTGAAGACATACAGTAGAGGTACCTTTCATTTCACAGGCTTCAAAGGGGGTGTGCCACCTACAGTAAAGCCAGTGTAATAATTCACCAGGACAATCGTTCACTCAGGAAAAATACGAATATTTAGCATCTCACTCTGTTTGTAGATTTTCATAAATGAAAAGTTAAGAAATGACTTCTGCTCAGACAGATCTTTTTATGGTCACGAACTGGTGAAGGTCACTGACAAAAAGTCCCAGCAGCGGCAGGGCAGACATCTAAGATTACTAGCATCTAAGGCACAGATGAATCTGAAACACTCAGAGGATAGCAAACAGAGAGAAGCCTCTCAGTCATAGCGTGGGTTTATTAATTACAACCTTGATTTATCAGCAAGTGAGAAATCTAGCCCTCCCTGTGTAAAAGCACAGGCACATTGATCATGTCTGCTATGATAGGTCATTGACAGTCTTGAATATTAATAAATCACTGCAATAAAATGCAGGCAGGATTGATGTCAGGGAGCCACAATTCCTGGAAGTGTTGTAGGGATCGGGGTTATATTTAGCTTTTAAACTAGCCTTTTACACATTGTGCATTTCAGTCAGTGATGAGGACAGGGCTTTTTTTCTGATAAGACTATCAAAAAGGAGAGATTAAGAATGAACAGATGGTACCCTAGTGATACTTCATACAAATGTATTTAAACAACAAGATGCAAAGTGTTAGTGTATGTAACAAAGAATTCTACTTCTGCCAGAGGCACATATGATAATAAATCCAAAATAGTTTTCTATGCAAGGACTAAATTTTGACAATATTAATTTAACCCAAATACCAAACAATGACTAGCTTTTTTGTGATATTGTTCTTACATGAATTTGAACTTGAGCTCTGTATTTTGGTATCCCAAAGATATAACAACTCTCACACAGCCAGGAAAAAAAGAGAGGGCGAGATTCACCCTTACACAATAATTCCTGTCAGAGGGTGAACAAGACATGGGCTGTTACCTCTTCTGCTGGGCGGATCTCCCTGATTGCCCGGAGAAACAGACGCCTGCCCTGGAACACAATCACGCAGTTTGGGTCGCAGTCATGGTTCAGCAGTGACATGCTGTAGGATAAGGAGGAAGAGACATGTTTCTGTATCTCTGAAGGACTGTGTTAATGGCCTAGGTCAAACATATTTGCTTTGGAAATCAAACATGGGAATGCGACAAATAAAACTTTGAATATTCCCTTTAACAGAACTTTCGGAGATGAAATTATTGGTACATTTGCTTCTTCATTTTCACCAAGAGACAAAATCTTATCTTATTTTACGACGACATAAAGGAGTTAGGGGCGGCACAGTTTCCCAGTGGTTAGCAATGCTGTCTCGTAGCGCTGGGGCCTTGAGTTCAATTAATGTAGTGCTATCTGCATGGAATGTGCTTGTTCTTCTTGTCTACATGTGGACTTGCTCCTGGTGTTCTGGTGTCCTTCCAAAGTTCAAGACATTCTGGAAGGTTAACTGGCTTCTTTAAAGTCAGCAATTTGAGTGTGTGTTTCTGTGTCTGTGTGTGCCTTCGAGGGACTGGCATTCCAAACAGCGTGTATCCGGCCTTGCTCCTGTTGCCCACCAGGATAGACTTCAGTGCCCTGCGACACTCTATTGGATAAAGTGGAGGTTTTAGAGCTCAGCTGCAATGAATCCGAACACAGTGGTCCCCTAGAAACCTGTATCAGGAACCGTAGACATATGCTGTAGTATTTATGGGCGAGGTATCAAACCGATTTCCATGATGGGCTAGCACCCAAAACACATCAAGTTTTCTCAGTAGGCTTCTACCACCCAGCCAAAGTGTCTAAAACCACCGGTCACCCTAGTGTAATTACAACATATTTCAAGTTCACAGAGAATGACTGAAAAAGAAAATATTATCACTGGTAACTTATTTTAGCAGAATCCAAAATGTAAGATTAAGTTATATTAGGTAAAAGTTATTTTTTTTGTATATAAAAATATACAATATCCAGCAATGACACGAGTCACATTTCAACTACCAAAACAAATAGGCTAAATATATACTGTACAGTAAAAAGAAAAATAAGGAAAGGTATCCTACAGTATATTTTTGTGTAAGAGAAGGTGAAAGCTCCAGTTCTGTTGACATTAACGGGGTTTCATGGGTTAAAATGTGAAGGTTTGCCTACTGTCACATCCTTTATAAAAACAGAATCAAGAATAGTTTACTAACAATCTGCAACAATCAAACTAGGCTGTATCAGTTGTGAAATCTGAATCCACATATTTTCTATCTTCTATGCTGCTCTGTTTGTTGAGTAGTGCTACATTTTCTGCTGCACTGTGAAAATGACTTGCCCTTCCAATCGCACGGTAGAGAAAATAACCTCACCTCTCTTATATTAAAACTCTCTATGGGAGGCACTGGAAAAAGGATACACTATTATTGGGGGTAACAGAGTAGATGTGTTTCACTATTAGTTTTAAAATTGAAATCAAGAGAAAGTTATTTATTGTGTTATGAGTTCAATTATTTATGCCTAGGGAGCTTCAGCATCATCTACCATGAACATACTGCCCTCTTTGGACAGATGTCTTGGCATTGATAGGCAGTTCTCTCTCACAGAGAAGGCAGAAGTTTCTCAGAGAACTGCGATGCTACACTTTCACCAGTGCCTGTCTGATGAACAGGTTTGAACTAATTTTAATAAATGCACATTTTATGGCCTTGGAAAAGGCAAAACCCCTAACAAACGGACTTGGAAATATGATACTGCGGCAGCATGATATAAAATGAAATCACAGCAAGTACAGTAGGTGTACAGTATGTATAAATAAGAATTGACAATGCTTTTCTTAAATTTCTAAAATCAACAAACTCATAAAGATGAATAACTACTTTGAATAAATTATTGGAACATGTTTAAATCAAACCTATTTCCATCCTTTCTGAACTGAGGCAGTCCATGCTTGTGTGTGTAAAGATGAGGAAAAACTATTTTGAAATACTTGTTCTACAGGGACACCATGTACCATGTTTACAGCTAAAATCACAAGCCCAAGAGTCTGCCTATTTTCCTTTTACCACAAGGAAGCTGGAACATGAAGCCTGGGTATTGCTTGCATTACTAAAATATGTGTTCCTATGAAGGCCAGAAGCTCTCTAAATCACAGAGTAAGTAAATTAGTAATGGTGTATTACACTGGGTAAAAAACATCTCTTGCTTTGATCTCCACTGCTGTGTCCTTTTGAGACGTTCTCATTAACTCATCAGCAATGGGTAGACCATATCTAGGTCCAACATATCTGCTAAATAACAGAACCCCAGCAGCCAGCTTACTTTATAGCCTGGTCTTTATCTTAGTGACACTTATTTGACACCCAAAGCAGTTAAATGAGATATTTTAGTGGGAGAACTTTACCTTGCTAATAGAAACACATTAGCAACCAAAATGGACAGGTCGCCAGGTAACAATATAGAAATTTCAGAAAGATTGTTTACAGTGAAAACTATTGGAAACTATACTGTCATTGTCAAGTTTGTCATTGTTGCTGTATACATGTACTTATGAAATGTGTATTTCCAAACAAAAACATTAATATGGGGCAATAGTATTTACATTTAATAATATTTATGCTTTCCAGTATGAATTAAGAAGACCAGTGATCCATATACAGCTCTGTGGTACTCCACTAATTTCATTAAGCCAATTTGAGTATTTACCAATTATCTGTTCTCTTGGTTTTCTATTTATTAACACGTTCTCAACCTAAAGACTTCCATATCTTGAATGTCTAAAAGAACAAGCACCTCTAATTTGAGAATACCTTCTGAAAACCTAAATAAAGCATATCAGATGCTTTGCGTGTGTCCATTACCATTGTTATTTGTTCAAATAATCCTAAAAGGTTAGCTAGGCAAGACCTACTGTACCTTTTCTTAATCCATGCTGACTATTCCCTAGTATCTGATTTCCATATAGGTGATCCTCAAGGATACCATTGGGGACTTTGTATTTATTAGTCTTGACTACCTCAAACATTCTCCCTGTTCTATGCTGATAATGTTTAACAGAGAGCTTTGTTCTTCGTTCTGCTGTTATGTTAACTTCTACCTTGGTGAACACCTGAGTGAAACATTCATTTAGTACTTCAGTAATGTTCCATGCATTATCTTAAAGTTACCCATTATTGTCCCATTACTGTAAAATAAATGATTATTATAGCCTCCATTGCAACTTCCAAACCATTCTTTGTACTCTAGTTTTCTATTTACTATAGCACTCTTTAAACCAATTTGGCACAGACACCTTTACAGATGTCTATAGCACTATATAATATAATACTTGTTGCCCACTGATCATGGAGGAAAGGAAAGACTCCTGGTTTCCCATATGGGTACTGGAATGTTCTTTGAAGGTAATTCCTGCAAGGATGAGTCACTGTAGAGCAACACCTATATGAGTACCTTGATTACAGACAATTAAAATGATGTCTGATACCTGTGAACAGCTTCAGCACCCTCTGTAGGACAATGCTGATTTAAGCCTTGCTTGGCACCTAAACATGAATAGACTCTGTTCTTTATCAATACACGGTTTAATACAATACAATAACCCTGTTCAAGCCAAACAATCCTGTAGTACTTATTCAAATAATTACTCACACCCGAAGAAGGCTCCACAGCTGAAACGTTGTGTTTTCTTTCTTCTCTTTTCAGCATGAAATAAACCTAATACTTGTTCCTTTGCAGCCTACGCATGCTGACGCAGCTACCTACTGTACCGTAATTATTCCAATTATAATTTACTTGAAAAGTGTGCAACTTTAATCCTGTTTATATATATTGGGGGCCAAATATAAAGAATTCTTGAGTTACTTAAATAATAAGAAGTAATGAATAAGAAGAATAAGCAGTAATGTGGAATTGATGTTACCTGTTTAATATTTAGATTTTCTTGGATTAAGGATTAGAAACTGTATATACTGTACAGTAACTTAATAGGAAACATTCAACCTAAAGTAGAGGGTATGTTACTGTATGTTTTCAAAAACATTTTGGGAATTAACCACATACTACTGTAGCTGTATCGGAAAGAAACTAAGGTCAATAAAAGTCATACCTTAACTGGATTGCAAAAGTCATGAATTTCCTTTTTTCATCTACTGTAATATCACAAAAGAAAGGGTTGAGGCTAAAAGCTAAATTGAAAATAAAACAATTCTATCTTGAACTACTGTAGGCTAAATTAATAGAAATCAACAACATTTTTTTTTTCAGTAGATCTGCCTTTAAATAGTTTCATAGTGTAATATTTTTACCATTAAAGTGAAATTAAGCACTCAGTACAGATTTAACAACCTAAGCACTTTACTTTGTAATTGGAGTTATAGTTCCTAATTTATTATTAAATTAAATAACTTGTTATGCTAGTCAGTTTTCAATTCTCTTAATTCACCAATATTTTTTACTCTTTCTTTCATAGTGCCCCAAACAGATTTTTTTTTATAAACAACAAGATTCTGTTTTATCTTTTTTCATTCTTAAATCACTTATTTAGGTTGCCATGACAGGTTAAACAGGTTGCCATGTTTTCTGATTTTTCTTTATGGAAACTAAAGGGGTGAATACTGATACCATTTCAGGGGATCTCTCCTAATTTATTATATAATTGAACACAATGCACAAACACAGTGGTGACATTTTCTTAAGCTAATTAGAGCAAGAGTCTTAACATTTCAGAGGTTGAGTCATAATGTAAAAATCAGCAAGCCTGGACACAAGCCTGGCCAGGTACATTTTGAAAAATAAGTAAACTGAAAAATTAAAAACAGGGAAAATGCAAAGAATATAGCACAGACATGTTGAGAAAAATCCCCTTTTACTGAAACATCATTGGCACCTTTCGTTGCTAAGCGACTTGAAATGTCAATAGGAACACCAGACTTTAAGGAGACTGACAGGTACCTTCTATAAGTATTTCCAAATTACTATAGAAAACCAAGATTTTCAATATACAGTTCATACAACATTGCATCCTGCGACTGAAGGTGCCAGGACCACATGTGTACTGAACATCCATCATGATCTTGGTCTAGCTGACCTCACTACTTTTGTCCAATTTTGTTTCCAATCAGGTCACCACATTCCAGAAAAGATACTGGTGCTCTGGAATTATTTCAGAAACCCACTTCATAGGTTTATTTTTCAAAGCGAAAAAAAGCCAAGAGGATTACCATCAAGGGTCTAGTCATTTCTAGACAGTGGGATAGCATTAGTCTTAAAAGATTTCTTCATGAAAAAGCTTCTTGTTTTTAGAGGATGGTATGACAGGCAACATAGGTCTGTGAGTGGGCTTAATGGAGATCAGTAGAGCAACTGTTGGCAAGTTATTTCAAGAGAGATTATGGATTTCTGCGCTGCTTCACTCAGAACACCATATGGTCACACAAGATGTTGACATCCAAAATCTTTAGATTCACCTAAAGCCCTCAGGATAACTATAGAATGTACAGCAGGATGTTTCAGGAAAAAACAGCTGTTTTGAATTTAGAATTTCCAAGGAAATTGTTGCACTTCTGTTGCCATAGTGAAGAAATAAAATATGACATTACATGTAAAGGTACAGTATATCAGCAAACATCAGCAGACATAAAATACGTAAAATACAAAATTACATTACACTGAAAAAATCTAAAATCTAAAATTATATGTAATGTATAATGGTTTTTTATTGATACTTGATATTTCTAAATACTTAGACTCTTTACTTATATTTGTAATAATTAAGAAAGATCTTTAATAAAAATTAGGAAATTCAAAAGAAGTCGTTTACTATGGTTTGGAAATGCCATAGAGCAAAAGTAAAAAGCAATTCTTCTCAGTTAAAGATTAAATGCATCACTTTATTCACTTCAAACTGCATTTCACTCTCCTTTATTAAAAGAAAGAGATACTACAGT